GCTTGACACGCTAACCACTCGGGTACACTGCCACGAGTACCCTTGAGTCACAGGGCATAAGTGAATTTCATGGAAGGTCAGGCCTACTTGCTATATCATATTCTTTTTTTGGTGGGAGTGCCGATGAAGCAAAGATATGTTTGCTATAGCAATCGACAACGTTACTTATATTCGTATGTGAGTAGAGTTTCGAGACTGATTTACTGGTAATCTCTACATAAGGGACCATTTCGTTTTCGCCTCACCTTCTTTCAATGTGTAGGAAACTCTCGTCTATCATAGTATCCCTTTCCTGTCAGTTGTAGAGAATGTATATATTTACTGGTAGTCTCGAAACCCTAATTACATACGAATATAACTAACGTTGTCGATTGCTATAGCAAACATACGTTTGCTTCATCGGCACTCCCACCAAAGAATATGATATGGCAGAGGCCTGACCCTCCTTGAAACTCACTTATACCCTGTGACTCAAGGGTAGTCGTGGCAGTGTAGCCGAGTGGTTAGCGTGTCAAGTTACCGTCCTGTATTGTCGCGGTTCGAATCCCGCTGAGGGTGTTGATAAGACCGGAGGTCGAAACTGCAGTCCACCTCAGAGTCGCGGTTCGAATCCCGCTGAGGGTGTTGATAAGACCAATGCGAGGTCGAAACTGCAGACCACTGGTGCCTAGGGATGAGAACAACTTTTGGGAAAGCAAGGCTATGTGAAATTCAATGGAAACGTCAGCTTAACTCATATCATCGTGGCCGTCAGCTCAACTCATAGCATTGTGGGAAAATTCTTCTACCAGTCCTTCGTCAACAACTTTTGGTCGAAAAAAGCAAGGTTGAAGGAAACAATTTTTGGGAAAGCAAGGCTATGTGAAATTCAATGGAAACGTCAGCTCAACTCATATCATTGTGGGAAAATTATACTTTGGGAAAGCAAGGCTATGTGAAATTCAATGGAAACGTCAGCTCAACTCATATCATTGTGGGAAAATTCGATGGGAAAGCAAGGCTATGTGAAATTGAATGGAAACGTCAGCTCAACTCATATCATTGTGGGAAAATTCTAATACCAGTCCTTCATCACCTTACACGAAATAGGATGAATACATCTTATAGTTCGAGTTCGAGTTCCCTTAAATCCTCCGCGGTAAGCGATGGTCAATTTAGCCTTATCTACCAAATCTCATCTTTTCTGCGACGTCATTTCCAACTAGTTGCAATGTCTTTATGCGCTAGAGCCACTGACGTCGAGAGGGGATTGCAAAAAACCTGTCCATATCAAACGGATCGGCCGGCAACAGGTGTTTGAAGGGCTCTGAAAAGGTCTTCGTCTCCATCTAACAGGTAGTCAGGGCAATATCGCTATCCTGGCATCTGTGGTATAGTAGACAGGCGCTACGCACAACACGGGGTCACAACCACCACATACACACACACACATTCACACGTGTGCGTGTGTGCGAGCATGCCCGTAATCACATTTCCATCGGTCCGGATCTTGCTGCCTGCAAAGCCCAAGTTTGCCGATCTCAGCTTCAAACTGACCCGTTAAGCTCGTCACTACCATGTGGGATGTCCTGATATGCTGGCCGATCGTCCTCCCTCAGCATGATCCCATGCTGGCCGACTTGTTCGCGTTTGTCTCCACACATGCCACACATGTTTGCCTGGAAGGTGGGAGGACAAGGCATGTGCATGTCTTTTTGGAAGACAACCTCCAGCCCTGCCTAGCCTGCTCTCCCCCTCCCGGCTTCACTCTGTACCCCCATGTTTGTCCAGATGGCCTGGTCTGTGGGTACGCGGTAGCTGTCCCACAGACCGTCTGCTCGGTGTCCTGCCATGACCGGACGTGTGAGCGGAAGACGCTGGCCCGAGGGGATCCCAACAACCGATCGGAAGCGCACATGCACAGGGATTGAGGAGAGATAGCAAAAGTGCGTTTTTATGCGCATGCCAATCGAGCCCGCAAAAAGCGGTATCTTCTCGTCCCAAAGGCATTGTCCTATGACCCCACGACCAGGACTCACTTTGCAGCCAAGAGGAAAATAACAGCCTCGAACTAGGCCTGAACTGTCCAGTTGCTATCGGCTTTTGTGTAACCATGGTGATCGAAGATAAGGGGTTGGTATCATGGAAGCGCGATACCAGAACCTCAGAGGTAGCGGTAGCCCGAAGAGAAGGGTCGGCAACGAAACACAAACACTAAGCGCCTAGGAAAAAGGTGATTTGGGACGAATTTCGTCACTCTTCTAGTAAAACACTCACACACCTACAGACGAACCTGATGAGCAGTTGGTATATAAAAGACCTACCCTCTTTCCTGTTCCAAAATGTATTAGGCCGAAGCTCCAAAGGCCAGTCTACTAAAACAATTTAATTAATTGTCGACAAATAGCTTATTTGAGAAGATGCTTTCCGGCTCGAAAATCGAGAATTACATTTCACAATTCCCGCCTCAGAGTCGGACAAGGCAGCTTCAGACTACATATAACAAGGTATGAAGACCAAGATGGTGTGGCCTTTTGTC